CCCCTAAGTGAAGAAGCTTCTAGAGTAATGGGATATTTGGACTGAGAATGTAAAAATACCTAAGTGCTGGGTCCTGCACTTTGGTCACAACAACCCTATGCAGCGCTACAAGTTTGGGGAAGAGAGGCTGGAAAGCTGCCTAGCAGAAAAGGACCTGGGGGTGCTGGTGGACAGTCAGCTGAATGTGAGCCAGCAATGTGCCCAAGTGGCCAAGAAAGCCAACAGCATCCTGGCTTGTATCAGAAATAATGTGGCCAGCAGGGCTAGGGAGGTGATTGTACCCCTGTACTCACCCCACTGGTGAGGCTGGACCTCAAATATTGTGTTCAGTTTTCAACCCCTCACTACAAGAAAGACATTGAGGTGCTGAAGTGTGTCCAAAGGAGAGCAGTGAAGCTGGTAAAGGGTCTGGAGCACAAGTCTTATGAGAAGCAGCTGAGGGAACTGGAGTTGTTTAGTCTGAAGAAAAGGAGACTGAGAGGAAACTGTATCACTTTCTGCAACTGCCTGAAAGTAGGTTGTAGTGAAGTGGGGGTCAGCTTCTTCTCCCAAGTAACAAGTGTTAGGACAAGAAGAAATGGCCTCAAGCTTCACCAGAGGAGAGTTAGATTGGCTATTAGGAAAAATTTATTCACTCAAAGGGTTGTCAAGCATTGGAACAGGCTGCCCAGGGTAATGGTGGAGTCACTGCTCCCTCCACCTGGTCACAAGCAGAGGAATCTAAAAATCAAAGCAATTCTCTTTAAGGGGGCAGAGGATGGGGGGGGGAAAGGGATAGAAAGGAAGGGATGGAATTCATTATTATGACTACCGAAATAAAGTAATTCTCCAATGACACAGCATAAGTGATCCCATAATAGAGGATTTCCTGTACCAAAATCTGTGCATTTCTCTACCACCTCAGGTCTCATTCTCCATGTACTCAACAATAAGAATACTAAGTACTCGTTGAAGAGGAGGATAGTTTTAGAGCACACACACCTTCGCACTGCTGCAGGATCTCTTCAGCCGTAGTGTCATAGTGTGTCAAGGGGTTGCTGGCATTACGGTACTATAGTGAAAGATAGAAGAGTCATTAAGTAGACCAGAAAGACAACAAAATTCACATTGTGAGGCATTTCATGAACATGATAAACATTCTCCAAGCCTCACAACAGCTACATATACTCTTTCCAGACTGTGTCCTTGTTATCTGGATTTAAGCAGAATGCCCAAGGGGAGGCACAACCCTCCTAAGTGACCTAATTTAAGATTACTTCTAAGGTGCCAGCACTTTCCAATGCCAAGATCAGTCCTGTGTGGGACAGCCTCTTTAAAGAACATTACTTGTGCCTATTCTTCCATCCAGGACTGCCAAGTCAGTGTAAGGCCGTCCATGTTTCATCGTTTCCACAAACATTGGCTCGTTGCTGCCCTCTAGTGACTATAGAAGCAGGCGATGCCTCAACTACAGCTCAAGATGTGGGACATCTTTTCCTCCAGAGACACCTAGGCTGCTGGACAGTCAACCAAGGAGGCTAAGGAACAAGGCTGCAATACCTCCTCCCATGCTATGCCTGCACTTCTGACACTTTGGCTCTTACCTGGTCTAGTATGTGTGCGTTGGGGATTTCATTTTTCAGCCTCCAGGCTACTCCTACGTGAGATTCAGGAGAATCAAATCTGGCCGTAGTTGGGGTCCTCACAATCTCAGCACCCAGAGCTCGCAGGACATCCACCTGTAACAAATAAAGGTGATCACAATACCAAAAACCATTCTGCCAGAACAGAGACTTCATTGAGATGCAAGGGAAAGAAAACATCTTCCCCTTTACCTGGTCTCTGATAGCTTTCTTGCAGTTCTCCTACACCCCAGCCTCCCAGCATCACTGAGCTGTGAGTCCAAATTTTTAATGTAATTTGGTCTCAGCAAAAGTTTACATAGGAGCTAGATGTCACATTCCTGTTTCTGTTCTAGGCTTTCAGGCCTGTAGGGACTATCACTACATATTGAGAAGCCTCATTCAGGCAAAACACCATCTTCTCTCATGCCATTCTTGTATGCTCTGTACTCCAGTGCCATAGCCCAGTATTTTATGTTTAAGTGCAAATTCTGTATATTTACCTCCTCTTTTGGACACAGGCAGCAAAGGAGATCCTCCAGGGCCCTATGCACCAGTAAACTGCTATGAGGGCAAGAAAGTTTGACAGTGAGCTAATGCAAGGCCTGTCTTCAGAGGGGAGGCCTTTGGTGCTACATGGCACATGGCAATGGCCGTGCAGTACCTCTCCCTCTGAAGCAGATAAGAACAAGAAATGGGTACAGGCCTTCAGGGGACCTTGTTCTCATTTGTGCCGCTGCCTTTCAGCTGGAACGCTGGAAGGGTTTGAACTGAGACAAGTGATTTGCTGCCTCAGCTGTGACACACAGCTTTGGCTGCAGGCACAGTACCACCCGACTGGAGCACAGGACAGGGCTTCCTCCATGGCCGAGTGTTTTGTGCTTTCCACAAGTGAAGGAAAGGGAACATTACCCAGGTGGCTTTTCCTTCCCCTTTGTTGCTGTGGTGACACAACTCAGATGCTTGCCAGTACCCTGCAGTGTAACCTGAGGGGCTCAGCAGGCTCTCACATGGCCTTGCTCAGCCCAGTGCAGAACAGAAGACTATTCAAGGCTTCAGCATTGCCATACTTTGTCCTCAGTTACTTCAGTATGCCAATAAATCTCAAGTTCCCTCGACATTTGCATTTAAAACAGTTATGACAGTTTTCCACATGACAGTGCTGTGGGCATGTGTCTTAAACACATTTCTGTCCACAGCTGGCCAGCTTGGATCACTCTTAGCACTGGCAACAGGCCTTCAGCAGAGCTCTGTCTGACCAACGACTTGGAGGCCAAAAGCCTACACCTTTGTTGCTAAAGCCACAGCACTCATCTGTACCAGGAACTCTGTAAGTGCAAACACACTTAGTTTTTAATTCTTGAAAGCAGAAACAGATCTGACCTTCTCCATGCTCATTTTCTCTGGCATCACAATGATGCAGCGGTAACCTTTCACAGCTGCAGCCAAGGCCAGCCCAATCCCTGGAAGCAAGCAAAGACACGTAGAGCATACAGTGAGTAGCACCAAAGAACAAACCTCACAACATTAGCTTTGGCATGCTCTGGCTTTAATCAGATTTTCACCAGAGGCTTGAGTACCATGTCTCTAAAGGGGTGGCAAAGGGAATGTTGCTGGCTGCTGGGGAGAACTGGATTTACAGATGCTGCCAGTTCTTTGAGGATTGCAGCCAACAGAAAGTTTAGCCAAGGGTGGGAAAACAACATGTGCAAACTGCTAGCTTCACCACATGCACAGCACCTTCCTTCTGTCTCACCCACTTCATTTTACAGAAGTAATTTGGGAAAGGAATGAGCTTTAAGCTAAAGAAGACCAGAGCAGTCATTTCAATAATGTCAGAAGAGCATTAGAGCCTCTATTAACTCACTTCTGCATTAAATCCCTAGTTTGCAACATGCCAGAACTAGGACCTTTCTAAAAAGACACGATTAAATGCTCTTTGTGGTTGAGGTTCTAATGCACTATGTCAACTTGCTGCTACAGTGAAGTAACTTGACTGTTAGAGACAGACACCTAATTTCTACTTTAAAAATCTGCACCCCCAGCCTGATTTCTGCCTACCAGCTTGTCACTGTCTGCCTACCTGAACAACTAAGCTCAGAAGTGCCTTCCCTGTAGAAGAGAAGCTTACACCTGTTACCAAATTACCACTCTGCTGCATGAGCTGAACAGATGAAGTTAGTTGATACATGTCTGAGGTCAGGCTGCACAGCATCTCGCCTGCTGTTCTGGGTACCAGGCACAGTACCAACACACACTCATGACAATGCCTCACAGGCAGTTTACCCTACACAGAGACATGCTTGTTTGGCTTGCTGGCTCTGTTTCTAAATGGTGCTGGCTTGTGTAGGCGTGAAAAAAAAAAATCTTTAACTGTTTCGGTAAGAGAAGCATAACTCATACTTCAAGTAATTCAAGTAGTAGCTTTTAAATATTTGGGAGGGGAACAAAAACAAATGACAAATAACATCTTTTCCCCATATACTACAGATGAAGATAGATGCCCAAATCATAAAAAAAAAAAAAGAAGAGACAGCAAAGGCCTCACTAAGGCCAAAGACTGAAGAGAAGCCATCCAGCACTCTTCCTTATGGTTTATGATGAAGAAAATATTTTGAGTTGTGAACTCTTAACACTTTGTACTTTCTGCTACTGACCTGGAAATGCAGCATCATCAAAACAGGACTTTAGCTGAGGGAGAAGTGGGATGCAGAGAGGGCAAAAATATAACACATTAGCTCTCATGTTAAACATACTCAGTAGCTCCGAGCAGTAAACTAGAACAAAAGCCAATTCTCTCAGGTTACTGTCTGCCCTGTCTTTGCTTTCACATGAAAAGAAACAGCTTTCTGATGTAATTGTCCTTTATCTCCTCCAGTTCTACCTTCTTTCTATCTTTTGTATTCTGTGGTAAGAACAACCATTTACCAGGTACTGACCTAAAGCATGATGTTATAGCACTACCTCAGATACTGCATGAATGCAATACATGTGGATATTTTCCACTACACACTATTGTTCAGACAAAAGGTATAGCCACAATCAGAAGGGCTTCAGTTGCACTCAACCCCCCACAGAGCAGGTGCTGAACAAATGGCAACAGATATGACTTCCCAGTTTTCCACTGGAGGCAGCGAACAGGACAGGACATCTCTCTAGAGCACATCAGGCAGTAGAACAGCTTGTAGCTCAGCTCAGGAACCTCCTCAGAGGAGATAATATATTTTTTATTTTAATCAGCTCAAGGAGGAGCATCCCAGGTATGTTTACTCCCCACCTGCAGTGCAGCTTAACAAAGTATAACAGTTTTGATGCAGGAGCCCAGAGCTAACTTCAGCCTGCTCAGATCATCAGATGCTCTGCCTTGGCCCCTGACTAGCAGGACTGTTCCTTCCTCCAAGGAGGAGACACTGACCCAAGTGAAATCTGTTGAAAATGTAGCTGTGTAAGGGCTGCGTTAGCAAACAGTGCTGTGGGGATGCACCCTATCTCCCATCTCAACTGCACCAACCTGGGAAAGGCTGATTCTCAAACCAGGCCCACCTCACCTTACAGAGGGACCACAGAACTTCCCAAAAAGGATGGCAAGATCCAGATTCACACCAGTCTTTTGGTGCTTTTTTAACCATTATTTTCAGCAAGGCTAATTCCTGAATAGGACCTAAAGATCCTAGGGAATCTGGCCTAACACTTCTCTTCTTTTAAAGCAAAGGGCCTCTGCAAATTTAGCAGACCTCCTTCCAGCTGTTCTGGTCAGCATAGGACACTGCAGAATTGTTCCTTGTGCAAGACAGAAGAGGCACTGCTCCCTACACCACGTAGGCAGGAAGGGACCCCATTTCTTCCTTGCACACGCAGTTTCCATGCTCCAAACTCAAGTTTGTCTCTTGCAGAAAAACCACCACAGCAATTTCATCCCACATTTTGCTAGGGTCTCTCCATCCCTTACCTGTGTTTCCAGAGGTTGGCTCTATGATAGTGTCCCCAGGCTTCAAGATACCAGCTTTTTCAGCATCCTCTACCATCCTCAGGCTGATGCGGTCCTTCACGCTGCCCCCAGCATTGAAAAACTCACATTTTGCCACTGGAAACAAAGAAACCAAGCAGAGTTCATGAACACAGTCATTTACCAAACAGGCTGCTGAGCCCCAACGTTATCTGCAAGAGCAACTCTGTCAGTACGTCTGGCCAGTTGAAGTCCCTACTTTATAACGCCAGAGATGGGATTCAGTTCACAACATGTCCACTGTTACAGGTCATAACAAGGCAAATTTAGTACTTGATGCTGGCAACAGAAGCCAAGAACCCACACTCTGTCAGGCTCCTCAAAATATGCGTCTCGTTTCATCTTTCCTCTTCATTTCAACCCAGTCATTGGGATAAAAAGCCTCAGGCCTCTTCCAGTACAACAGCACGGAAGAGAACTCCACCAATATGCCTTGCCTCTTTCCTGCTACGTTCTCCAGCCAAAGAGTTTCTGATCAAACTGGAAGTTTCTCCCCTTGTTCAGCCTACACTTTCATTCCCATACTCCCAGCATTAATCCCTTCACTGGTGTTAAACACTACCTTTCAGGACTCTGATTGGAGCCTCCGAATATCTCCAGTATGGTTGGGTTTAAAAAAACCCACCCCACCCCACCAACCCCCCCCCCCCCCAAAAAAAAAACCACCACAGAAAACCCACCAAAAAAATCCTGAAACTGAGAGTTTCATCCCTTTCATAATTTTCAATGGTCTTTAGTAGTAACTGCAGATCTGGATTTCACACACACCGATGAATACTCTGAATATGAGCAGCAGTCAAAAAACTTCAAAAAAACCTTCTTTTCACAGAAAATGAAAAAATTTTTAAAAAGTAAAACTTTATCTACAAAGATGGAAAAACTGCAGGAAACGTCCTTAGGAAGTACAAACTGAAAAATTATTTAGAAGACCAAATCCTGAAAACCTGGAAATCTGCCAAAGAAAAAGATAAGTTTTTCTCACCGTTTTCTGCAGGGTACCTGCACTCTTCCTATGCCCAGGTTACATGACACTACTAACCAGGACTACCCAAGTTTCTGAAACAGTGTTTCTTACTTTGATTTTCTGCCTGCAGCAGTACTCACAGAGTTCACACTTGAGCCCATACTGCTTCCCAATCTTGTTGATTCGCACCATGGGTGTATCGCCAACTTTATCCAGGATGCTTGGAAGGATTTTCAGAGGTTCTGGCCTGGTACACATACAGACAAAGTCAGTGTATTGACAGAAGGGGCCACCGGCAGGTCACACAAAAGCAACACAGCATTTCCAATGTTTCTTATTTCAACCAGCTTCCTCCTTGTCCTTTACTAGGTTAGTTATTTTAGATATTTTAGTTTAAAAGAATTTCCATTGGATACAAACTCACAACACATCAAGTCAAAAGAAGGATTAATCAGACATCAAGCCAAGTGCTGAGGCAAGTATGAAGTGCTCTGCACTTTCTCCTGGCATGAAGCAGTTTAGCACTGCTCAGAGTCAGCCTTTTTACAAGCAGAAGGCATTAACAGTGCAATCTTTCACCTAGTCAGGAAACTGCTTGCCAAGTTACTTAAAATAAGTTAGTTCCAGTCCATGTAGTTTCACTTCTTTGGTGCAAGGCCCCTTGTATGCTTAATCTGGCTTCTTAACTTTGCTTACACATAGAAATTAAGAAGCACCAGGATTTCTACATGCTAAACACCATCAATTTAAATCAGTCATCATTTCTTAAATCCACATGGCTCTGAGGGGACATGGATTAGTGCTGCACTGAAAATCAGCAAATAAAAGTAACACTTACAGAGTAGTATGACGATGTGGGGAGGCAGAGAGGGGTTTCCCAAGCTTCCATGTGCACTTGCTAGGTGTATCAGGGCGGATCCACTCCCTTTCCTTCTCATTTGCCTTGCAGTTCTCATTGTCCTTCCCACCAGAGAGAAAATATTTGCCGGGTACACGAGGGCAGGAGTTTGTATCTGGCTTCTCCTGGGAAGGAAGTATAAGAATTTCATCCTTGGGGGACAGAGAAAGGAAAAAAAAAATGGAAAAAACCCAACCAAACGAGAGTGATTCATATGCCCTGCTGTAACAAGGTCAGAGTACCTTTTGAGACTATCAGAGTTCTTCAAGTTCAGTACCATGGGAAACTACCCACTCACATCACTACTCCCCCCCTACAATAGCAAAAAACTATGTTATTAAGAAGTCCTTATTTTGGTCTCTGCCCCTTCACCAATATACCTATTCCCAGACTAGTGCTTTAGCATGCAGTTTTTCTGAGGGAAGCCTGAACTGAAAATACCCTGATGGCAATTTTCAAGAGAGCCGTGCTGGCCAAAATAGTATAAGCCAAAAGGGGCAATGGCAACAGGCAGCTTTTAACACCCAAGAACAGGCTCTGCCACTGATTACAAGAGATCCTGTCACTGTACCTAAGACCCAATTATTAGGAGAGAGAGCATATAGTATATCTCAGTTAGATGAACCCCCATCCTCAAGTGTCCCAGTCGTGTTTTGTCCTTATATGAAAAAGGTCACAACAGATGCGCTTTGTAATGCTTAGTACAGTGCCGTACAGGAGGATAACTTAAACACACTGAAGCACATGCTTACTGTAACTAGCCTCCATAAGTAACAAGAAAACAGCCCTAATCTCATGGGAGACACCATTCCCACACCAAAACGCAGCTCTCTGAAATAAAATCTCCCCATTCCAAGCAGAGAAGAACAGAGTAAGACTACTTGGTGACTAATTAGAAAGTGATGCCAAAAGACTGCATTGCTACTTGCAGTCATGAAGAACAACTCTTCCAGAAAGGCCACTGGTTTCAACAGCACCAACCTTCACAGCATTCCAGCAAAAAAACCCATCCAAAAAACTAGCAAACCCTCTGAAAACAGACAATGCTTTCCCAAATTCTGCTGACAAAAACAGGCAATCAATATTCCCTAAAGACCAATGAGTACCTTAGACACACAAACGGGCTTTTCTGATATCAACTTCTCCATGTTCTTCAGTGAAGATGGCGGCACAGCAGACTAGACTTTCTTCAGGAGACCGAGTACTGTGGGCCTGGAATCCTCTTCAAACCTGCAGATCATGCAAGTTAGAAAACAAAAAGTCAAAACTCAGTATCAGGAAACAGTCTCTCCCAGGGGTAAGACATGCATCCCACTTTTATAAGGTACAGAAAGAAGCCGCAAAACAAAGTGAAGATGACTCCTGTATAGACAGGATAAAAAGTTGTGCACAGAAGCATTGAGCAAGATCAGAGGAGGGTCTCCTGACCGTGTTCTTCCTGTATTACATTTTCTCCCCTCTGCCCTACCCTCCACAGCTCAGATCCAGTAAAGTGAGCAGAAAACACCTTAACTGGATTGACTTCAAGGCGACACAAAGTAATAGAAAATATTCCAGTCCACAGGATAGATATTTAGAGACAGCAGGGGTGACAGGGCCTCATGGGGCCATCACCAAAAGACCCTGTATACAACTCAGGAAAACACTTCATGGAGGAACACTTGCCCACTCTTGAAAAGGCCTAGATCTCACTAGTTCCTCCAAGACTGAATTACTGTCAAATGCACTACTACAGTGATGCTGGACATAACACACAGAGCAAACACTTCAACCACAAAGAAGCCTTCCACCAGGCTTTTTGTTTCAGAAATTAGTAAATACAAAATGGAAGCAGTAAGTTCACTTCTGCTCCAGCCAGTTGTTCATAGAGCCTGCCTGCTCCTACAGCTACCTTCCTTTCCTTCCATTGAAGGTAAAAATCTGGCCAAAGGCTTGGAAAGATGTTATTTGGGGGTTTTTTCCCCCTAATATTTGTTCTTCTCACCCTTTTGCAGCAGGATTCATGGCTCTTCTTGTTACTGGAAAAGGTCCCTGGTCTCATCCTCCTTCTGACACAAATGCACACAAAACAGATACAGCTTAGATCAGGCAGAGCTGATGATCTGGTAACATGCTATTAAAAAAAAAATCTGAATCACAGGATCAGTGAACTTTAGCATTTGATCCTGCAAGTTAACATGCACCACTAACCACTACTGCCTCATGCACACCAATTCCTTTCTCACGTGTTGATCTGAAGAAAATGCCTAAGGCACTTAAACTGCCCTTCTTTAGGAAAAAGAGGACTCTGAAAGTGCCAGCTTTCCAGACTAAGTCCTGAAATTATTCTCCTTCTGGATGTAAGGTCTTCCATGCCACCAAAATCTATACCATTCTACTTTATTTAGGTAAGTACATGCCCAAGAGCCAAGATGAGCTGCATCCTGTCCTACACTACTGACCAGGACTAGACTGAGAGGCCCCAGCCCAGGAAAGCTAATATCCCATAAAGACACATAATCTAACATCAACCAATCTTGTTATGAGAAAAGAGCTTAATTCTAGTTCCAAAGTGAAACCTGGCCTTCATTTCTATTTCTAGAGGATGTCTGGTCCACAGTTCAGAATATCAACACTCCCACTAGTAAAGAAAAAATACTGGAGAAGTTTCAAGGCTTCCTATGAGCCACATCTACATGGTCCTTCAGACAGCTGGTGTGCAATACTGGACACAGACACCGGCTGCCTCTGCTCACAGGGAACACGGACAATATTTACAAAGTCCATCTAATGAGGGCACCTTGCTGCCAAAGGAACAAACCATTTCAACAAGCAGGAAGAAAGAAGCAGTTAGAGAGAGGAAACAGCAGATTTTGTTAATCTTCTAGGTTCTCTTTATATAGGAGTGCCAAACCAGACTTTTAATCACCAATCAATCAGTGTCCTTCAAGAGGGTCCAAAAATTGAGGGGAAAAGGAGAGAAATTTGTTGCAGTAAGTGTCAGAGGCTTCAAAAAATAAGTACTTGGTTTTTGCATTGACTGTAAGGAAGAAATGAATGTGGCTCTCTTCAAAAGCTGCCTTTTGGAGGATTCCCTCCGAATACCATCTCATTTCCTCTACTGCAATACAAAAAAATTCCACAATCCACTACAGCAATACCTGACACTTCCTGGAACTTGAAACAGCAGAAACAGAGGAAAAGCTATATTTATTGCCTTCAACTAAGCTGCAAGATTCTCTCATATGTTTAGAGGAATAGCAACACTCTGATGTTTGATCAAAGCTTCAGTAATGAGGCTAGAACTTTGAAAAAACAAGGAGAGAAAGAAAAAGCTAACCACAAGCATTGCCAACAAAGATCCTGTCACCAAATACCAACCTTCAGTATCATCATTCCTTGGAAGAAACACAAGCTCCTGTTCAATATATCTCTTCAAATCATTGTATTAGATATTATTTTCAATAACCTCATACCCATCCAGCCCAAAGTAGATAGATATACATATATATATTTATAAAGTCCAATTCTAATCATGTTAGCAGAGAATCAGTCTCAGTTATGGTCAACCTAGTCTCTTAGGGTTTTGAAGAATGACAAAAACCTAGGACAGACTTGGTTGCTCTCCAATGAGAATTGTTACTAGAGCACTCAAACACAAAAAAGAATCTGCGATTGCTTACTGTTATAGCTAAGAAGCACATCAAGAGCTCAGGAGTGACTTGTCATGTTCTGAACCTACAGGAAGACCTCAGATTTTCAAGCTCCTTCAGTGCTACTGATGAGCTTCCTAATGCACCACCCAAAACATCCAACTGGTGCTTCCAGCCCTTGCTGATGCAACTTCAGCAAAACATGGAGCAGAGGTGGTCAGTCTGGGACATCCAAATTCCCCTCAGGACATATGATCCTGCCTGCAGGCTCCAGTTGGGCTATAGGAAGTTGATGCATTTTTCTACTGGGGAGAACTTCAGGAAACAAAGGAAAGGGGATGAGCAGAAATCACCAAAACAGAGGATGAGAGCAACTTTTTCACCAGCCTGACCCTCTTCTCAATCTCTCTTCTTGGAATGTAGACTGGGGAGACAGGGCAGGAGAATGGTGACTGCTGCTCCCACCGCAATTGAATGCTGCTCAGAAGAGTCTGAGGAACATAAGCTGCAGGAAGAGCTGCCCATCTTCAGCAAAGAAATTCTGTCAGCCTGAATTTAAGTTTGCTGTAAAAGGGAACACTCCCATAATTAGCTGGGGGTTTGGGCAGAGTCTAACTAGAAAAGCCTGACTAACTTCTGCCATTATATCTGCAAAGCACGAGGCAGAAAAATCAGAAAGACAATTTACAAAATCACTTAAACCTAAGTCACGAAGGGGACTGGGGCAGAGGTATGAGATCCACAAAGCCTCAGGGGAAAGACTCACATCTCTGGTTCCTCCTCTGCAGGGAACTCAAGACCTAAACTATTTCTCAACTCCTACAGAACAGGATCAAAAGCCAGTGAGTGAAATTAATCCCTAAACCAACTGAGCTGAACTCACTCCATAGATATGTTAGGAGCTACAGTTTCTAAAGCTGCTTACAGTATATGATCTCAGCACTAATGCAGACGTTTAAAGAGTATCATGTATGCAAGAATCTAATTTACTTGAGTCTTGTCTGAAACAGAGATGAAGCTGTCTAAAAGGCAGGTATAAGAGGTGCATCAGAGAGAGATGCCCCAAGGGCTGACTACTCAGCAAGAGAAGAGATACAGGATTCAATTATGCTGTGGCCTGAGAATGTGAAACTTTGATGTTAAGCAGGTACTTCACTCTGAACAAGCAAACCACTACAAACCAGTTGTTCTGCTCATTTTGAGTCCGACAGGGTCTTAGACAGCCTTGGGATCTTTACAGGTTACCAGATGTAGCAGTACCCATCAAGCCTTTGGAAGCTGTTCAGAAACATCACAGCTACAAGTGATATAGGAAACAATCAGCCATACATTTCTGGAGGGTTTGGTTCAGTTTTGGATTTTCCTCCACTCTTGTACTTCCTCAGTAGCAGGCAGCCATCACTCCTGTGTCACGAGGCATCAAGTGACCTGAAGTAACTGGGGTATGAATTAACAACACTGTGGCTTTAGGAAGAAATACTTTCACAACTGACTCTTATCTGTTTTCCCCTGCAGAGCAGATGTTCTCTCAGAGATCACTCTTCCTTTCAAGGCCAGACTGGCAAACTCATAAGCCTCCTGATAGGAGATAAGTAGCTCTTTAATGCCTCTGTAACACTGCAAAGATTTTAAAACATCGAGCACAAAGCCACTTCCACCACTATGACAACTGTTACACTAGAGATAAGTCAATGAAAACATGAAAGCATTCAGTCTGCCTTTCCCCCCGTAAGGGAAGCTGTGCCTGCAGCCCTAACACAGGTGTCTTTTGACATCTCTTGCTTCCCAAGTTCACTCCAACCCCGCCTGGACTCATCTGATACCTCTTCTGAATAAAGACTGATGTCTTCAAAGAGCACAACAGCATTAAAGACTGGAGAATGCCTTATCTGCATTTTTACCTGCTGCAGTCAGAGACTTTATTTCTTACCTTGCTTCTAGTTCCCTCTCCTTAGTCAGCATACAACGCTACAGCCTGAACGCAGCTCTTGATCTGCCAAGCTCACCACATACAGGGAGGGAAGCATTACAGGTAGGGTAACAGAGGCTCAGAGATTAATAAAGTTGCTTAGCATGACAGAAAGAGGGAGTTGGAGCTCTGCTCTTAATTTCTGTCTATAAATAAACAGGGAGAAGTACAGCTCCCCTTCCCCAGCATTACAAGGCATCACATCTTTTGTTAGCACAGGGACCTCCAATAAAGCCTGGCAGAAAAATGCTGGTCATCTCCACCTGGGCAGGAAGCCAGCTTTTTGGCTGATGTAGGTTTTGTGGGAAAGACCAGCTGCCGCTCACTCTGGCTACATCTGCAAAGCTTTTGGCAGGCAACCACAAGTATGGTACACCCCGCTGCCTGCCTAGTTCCTATGGCAGGCACCTGCCAATAGCCAGAAGCCAGCCCCTTTGAGCCAACCTGGCAGCAGGCTATGCTGCCAGCACCAGGCTAGTGACGTACGTACCTGAGCCAGCATACACACTCCAGGACATGAACCCAGCATGACCCTTGCTACCAAACA